TATGAGGAATTGTGATGGAATTGTGTTTAATTAAAAATCTGGAAAAAAATAATATTAAATGTTAAATTAAAATATCAAGGGAAAATTAACCATCAGGTCACTGATTGGCTAAAAGTTTGAATGTTTACAAATAACTAAGATTTGAATTTAAGATATTGTTATGAGTTGAGACAAAGGTTAAGTAAAACTTAGAAGTATAAATACTAATAATTAAATTTGTATATGGGTTTGTGGTACAAATGTTGGTGGTTTATTTTTATTTTTTTATTTTTTTTCTCTTTCTGGAAAGGAAGGAAGGAAGTAGAAGGAAGAAAAGAAAAAAATTATTAGCCCCAAATGTGAAATATTAGACTTAGAAATTGGGATCATTTAAAATCTGGAAATGATAAAGATTAAACGTTAAACTTAAATATCAATGAGAAATTAAAGTTAAGAAAAACTTACTAGGTTATTGTCTAAAAGGTGGAATGTCAAATTAATTAAGATATGTATAGACTGAAGATTATTGATAAATATTAGAAAAGTACCTTTTGTTTGATTGATAGAATACGAACTGTATTGGTTCGAATATGATAGTAGATATTATGGGGGAAAGAGAGAATTAGTTGTTGTAATACTTTGAGATTTGTACTGATGATATTCAAATGTAATGGAATTACTGTGCTCAGCCGCCATGCTACTTTTCAAATATGTAAATGTAATATTGTAAAATTAATAAAAAACTTGGGGGAAAAACATCACCCTCCCAGTTGGTGTTCAGCTGACCCAGAACTGAACTACTGAAACAGTACTTAGTTCTGTCAATAAACATTTCCTGTCAAGCAGCCAGCTTCTTCTCATCTATTTCAAATGGCAGTGGCTTCGTTTGTTTTTTCTTTCTTTTCTTTAAATGTATAGCCTCCTCGCTGGAAAGTGAGCCCGCGGCTTTTTCTTCTAACACTATGAATTACAAAACGCTGTAAAAACTGTATAAAAATCCTTATGGTAACCCAATCAAGCTGCCAGCTGACCCAGAACTAAATAAACCAACCTCTTTTTCGACATGCTCGTCTCCAGGCTTTTCATTTCATCAACGCTGATTGCATTCTCCTAGCTGGAGAAACGAACCAGGAGACCTTTTCTTCCAACAACAGCTTCCCCTACCTGCTGAACTCTCCTTTCACAGCTTCTTCTCCATCCCCTTTCCTGCCAAAACCACCTCCTTTTATATCCTCTCCTCCTCCCTCCTTTTTTTTTTCAGTTCACCTATGGCTACGTGCTGCTTCCAGAAATGCCAATCAGCCGGAGCCCTGCCGGTGCTCCTGGGGCTTCTGCCAAGCCCCAACACTCCTGCAGCTCCAGCTGCCTCTCCCTCAGCCTTGGATTGCTTCAGCTCATTCCCCTTCCGTTACACTTGTCTAAAACGGTCGCTTACCACTGGTGGTACACCAATTGAAAAGCCCTGGCTTATAGCAATGCTGTGCACTCCAGTACAGGTTTTATTCCATTTCAAGAAGCTAATGGTCAAACATTTGTGGCCATGCCTGAACTTCCTATCAACTTCCTATCCCTTCCTTGAAAAAATGGATTAAACAGTTACAAAATACCTGGCCAGTAGTCAGGAAAGCTCTGGATGAAGTGAGAGAAGCCTATAAGGTTCAGGCTGATAAATGGAGGGTGCAGTAAAAACCATATAAAATTGGAGACCGAGTATACCTCTCCATGAAGTATTTGCAATCTTTTCAACCATCTAAGAAATTAAGCCCTAAATTTGTAGGACCTTTCCCTATCAAATGCATCATCAATCCTGTGATTTTTGAATTAGATTTGCCAAAGAATCTACGGAAAATCCACCGTTTTCCACTGTAGTTTGCTCAAACCAGAGGTCATTTCTAACCTTAGGCCTCCTGTACCTCAGGCAACCATACCTATCATGGTTGAAGGTGAACAACACTTTGAGATTAAGGACATTTTGGACTCTCAGATACATCATGGGGTGACACAATACTTAGTAGCTTGGAAGAATCTCCCTTCTGCCCAGAATGAGTGGGTGTACAAGAGACATGTTAGAGGCCCTAAACATCTAAGACATTTCCATTCTCAATATCCTGATAAGCCTAATTAATGTGTATATATTGTTGTTCCCCTCCCCTTTTTGTCTTTTAGGTGGATTTCCCATTCTTTTAGGGGGGGCGTATGTCAGGTCCCCAAATCCTATTATCTCCCTTTCATATATATTCTTGTGCTTTGCTTTGGGGTATGCCATTTAGTTGGGGGGAGGGGGTTATTTGCTTTTGTTTGGGATTACTTTCACTTTCTGCTTTTTTCATCCACCTCTATCCATTTGAGATAGGAATGTGTCTCCCTTATCAGGGAGACGGTTACAAAGAAACGAAACTGGAGAAGACCTTGAGATGCGAACCAACTGTACCAGTTACCCAAACATCATTGCCACCTGTGGATTGGCTGAATTTCAAATGGACATTATGACTCTGGTGGGAGGAGTAATATTGCTGGTTTAACTATACCGTTTAAGCGGGATTTTCCCCAGATCTTGCCTGGACTTCCCTACTCACTGACCCCTAATAAAAGTTTCTTTTTGAGACAATGCCTGTTTCAAGAGTTCTGCTTTCTTGGGTGGTTAGCTGAGGTGGGTCCTTACACTCATTTTCCCTGGAAACTCATTAAAGAAAGATTCAACATGGAACTTTCATGACAGTGAGAACAATTGATCAGTGGAATACTTGCCTTCCAGAATTGTGGGTATTCCATTGCTGGATGTTTTCAAGAAAAGAGTGGACATCCATTTCTCCTGAGTGTTATAAGGTCTCCTGTCTTGGATAGGAGGCTGGACTAGAAGACCTCATCAGCTTCAAAATATTCTATTCTTGTGGAAAACGCAAGGACTCTTACGAATTCCAGAGGGTTTAGCAGAGAGATTTATTGCGCAGGTTCAGAAGCAAAAGCAACCAGCAATTCTGAACCCCAAGGGCAGGTTCAGGCTTCAGTTTTATACTTTCTTTTTCTCAGGAACAAAAGACTACACATTCTAATACACATTGTGATACATTAGGTCCATTTCTCACGGGTATACAATGGAGAGTTCGCTACATACATTGTATCCAAATGCAATGCACATTAGGTTAGTCACATACTACTAACACAGCATTATTCCAGTAATTATGCAGACACATCATTATTTTAGTGATTGTTCATTATTATTCCACATTATTCCACCTTACTATGACTAGGTTTGTGATGCTAAGTCCTATAATCATGAAAATATTTCTTTGCAATATTGAGAATATTTCTTTGCAGTATTTGTTCTTTCATAAATTCCACTTCATACATATCTTCTTTTTAGAGTTATCTTCATTATAATTCATTGACTTCATAAGCAAAGCAACACTTTCTTTTAAAAAAATCTTGCATTTTTGCCTTGTTACTGTTTATATAATAAGATTATTTTTAAGAAGAAAACATAGTAAGTCTCTGGAATGCAAACATAAATTTTGTTCCATAGATGTTATATTATAGTAGATGCTGTTCCTTTGCCCTCTGCATATTTGCTATCAAAGTTGGCAAAGTAAATTAGAGTTCCCAATTCTTATCTATGCCCCCAAAATGTACATTGTTAAGGAAATATGAGGAAAAAAAATCTCACTATCCAAACTGTTTTCCTGAGTCCATTTTCAGCTGATTCTGAAAATAATTTCTCCAGCAACACATTTTAGTTTACGGGGTTCATTTTCATAAAACACTGGCTTGATTCTCTGTTGTATCAGCATGCCTGCTTCGTGACTCATTTATGTGGAATTTGCTTTCAATGGAATTTCTCTGCTGAGAGTTCTTTATTTTTGTTTGTGGGAATTTATTTTTAAATGCAAAGTGCTCCCAAAAGAGAAATGGTGCTTGATTTTTTAAAATATGTGAGTCTATAGTGCTGATTTGGACATTCATTCTTTTTTGAGTTTGCTTTTGGAGATTAAACTCCTGTACTTGTTCTAGGAAAAATCATGGATTTTATTTTGCGTGAACAAAATTAATAGTCCCCCTATATTCCACAGGCATACTATGGAGTAGAATATCAATTTAGCTCCCTAGGCAGTTTTGCATCTTGTAGTTCCAGTTCTTACATCATTCCTAAGTAGAAGCTGATATGTGCTAGGTAGATATATAGTATATTTTAAAGATTATATTATCCAAGTGAAACTGTGAGGCCATGTTGTTTTTACTGAAATAGCTCTTATAATCCTTGCCATATTTCATCTGCGCTTTCATTTTCATCTGTATGATTGAGAAAGATGTCACATATAGCTAGAAACATTAATTTTCTTGATTGTAGCATCCCATTCCTCCTGTTTCTTTCCATTCACCTTAGTTCTTCTAGTGCTTTGGCCATTCCTAAAACGCAGTATTTTCACTCAAATGGATCATCTTCTATAGTCAGTGTCATTTAGAACTTAATTGAATCAGTTATTCTGCCTTGATGGACATTTCTCTCTTGGAGATTTAAGGCATCCCAGCTCCCCCTCCTTCCTCCTCTTCTAAAAACACAAACCCTGTATACTCTTAAGAGACAAAATGGTATTTGTGACATCACATTTGTGGCATCACAACTGAAATATTTTTATTTAAACAACTTCCAGTCTATGCATGACTAAGTTGTTAATATCTGAACTTTTTACCTGAGAACTATCTCAAGAAAATCTTATAATAAATGAAGTGATGGTGATACAGTGAGGCTGAACTAAACAGTTACCTCAGGCAGCTGATAGTGAGGTCATGAAAAGGAAAGCAATGTATTGATTATTTAATTTGTTAGCATATGTTTACTGAGGGAGAGGCTCTCTGAAGTGTTCATAAAACACAGATTACAATAGATCTATGTGATTCTGCCTCCACTTGTGAGAGGTGGTCCTCAATAATTTTCAATCCTTTGAAGTGAGTCTTAAAAGATATAAAAGTTGAGAATCTAGTCTGTAGAATTCTGACTCTCCATTTTTTGTTTGTTTGTACAGCTGAAAAAGTAACTTCCTTGGGAAAAGATTGGCACAAATTTTGTTTGAAATGTGAGCGCTGCAACAAGACCTTGACACCTGGCGGGCATGCAGAGGTAAGAGATAAAAATGAGAAGATGAAACAATAAGCTTCTGTATCATTTAAAGTCAGTGATTGAGTTACATAAATGCCATATTGTGATACAAAATAGAAATTATATGGAATCTTTTGGATTTTATTAGTTTTTTTTCCTCTTCATTACATCTAGTTTACTTGAATTACTTTACAGAATTAGGGGAATAAGAGAGTTGGAAGGGACATTGGAGGTCTTCCAGTCCAACCCCTTGCTCCAGCAGGGGATCTTATAACAGTGATGACGAACCTTTTAGAGACCGAGTGCCCAAACTGCAACCCAAAACTCACACCCAAGTGGGTGTGGCCCATTGGGTGGGTGTGGTCCATTGGGTGGGCATGGCTGTGGTGGTAATGGCAAACTGGGTGGGACTAAAAAGTTCAATCAATCAGTTCCAACTTTGCAAGATCTTTTTTTTTCCCGCAAGAAGTTGAAATTGACTGATTGATTGAACCTTTTTTTTTTTTGTACATGGCGGCAGAGGCCTAAAGTGAAAAGGTTTTATAAAACCCAGCTGAAGGCCTAAGATTGGGGTGACGGCATGCGTGCCCACAGAGAGGGCTCTGAGTGCCGCCTCTGGCACCTGTGCCATAGGTTCGTCACCACTGCCCTATAACATTCCAGACAAATGGCTGTCCAATTTTTTTAAAAAAACTCCAGTGATGGAGCATGTACAATTTCTGGAGGCAGGTTTTCCACTGATTAATTGTTTCACTGTCAGGAAATTTCTCCTTAATTCTAGGTTGGATCTTTGATAAGCTTCCATCAGTTACTTTTTGTTCTGCCCTCAGGAGCTTTAGAGAAGATGTTGACTCTCCCTCTCTGCAATAGCCCCTCAAATATTTGAAGACTGCTATCATATCACCCCTAGATCTTCTCTTCATTAAACTAGACATACCCAATTCCTGCAACTGTCCATCGTATGCTGTAGCCTTCAGTTCCCTAATTATCTTTGTTGCTTTTTTCTGCACTGTTTCTAGACTCTCAACATTTTTTTTTCTATCATTGTGACCAAAATCGGACACAGTATTCCAAGTATGATCTTACCAGTGTGGTATAAATCAGTAATAACAATTCACATGATCTTTATACTATCTCTTTGTTGATGTAGCTGCCACATACTGTTGGCTCATACTGAAGTAATTGTAGGAGATGTAGATCCCTCTCACAATTACTGCTGTTGAGCCAGGTACCATGTATTCTACACTTGTGCATTTGGTTTTTCTTGTCTAAGTGTAAAATATTACATTTCTCACCACTGAATTGTATTTTGTTAGATAAGGCCCAGGGTTAAAATCTGTCAAGATCCTTCTGGATCTTTAGCCTGTCTTCTAAATTGTTGGGTATTCCCCCCAGCTTGGCACCATGTATAAATAAATTTGAGAGTTCCCCTTCTATCTCCCCATCTAAATTGTTTATGAAGATATTGAAGAATACTAGGCCTAAACCAGTATCCCATTGCATCCTTCCCTCCATGTAGAAGTAAATGTACTTTAATGTATGTATATTCTTTTTTCAATAATATGCTATAACCCCTATATTTTTTCTATTGGTGGTATTTGTTTTACTATTTAAAAAATATATAAACAGACATCACATTTATATTTCACAGATATGTTTTATGATTTGATGGTGATTTTGTTAGCATCCCCTATAAAATCATAAAGGCCTATTTGGATCTAAGCTTTGCATCATCATCATCATCATCATAAAATATGTTCTTTCTATTATTATTTTTCACTATGTGGTCTATAGATGGCAGTGCAACCTTTAATTTTATATATATATTTTTAAGACAAGCTGTAAAAATTAATGATTATGTCTTTTTGATTTGCTGTTTTTTATCCTGTTACCATTGTCTTCCTGATTATTCTCCAGCAATTGGTAGCAGCAAAAAATTGGGACACACTTAGTCTAGGTCTAGGAGAAGCTTACTTGTGTTTAATAAAATGTTAACTTTCTTGTTTCATACAGTGTAATTTTTTAAAAATCCCTAATTTGCCCCCTCAATTAATTTCGGATGGTAAAGCAATTCACAACTGATCCATTTGATTCTATAAACTGTATGGTGAGAATAGACCTTTCTGTTTTCTCATTTTTACAAATCTGTTTCAGATGATTTGAGGGATTTGTTCAGACTTGTAGATAGTGTCTGAGATGTTTCTTAAGTTTTGGCTTTAACTTCCATATTATCCAACTAACTCCATGGAACTTCTAAGACAGATCATAAGGAGATTGCGGTTTATTGTCATGAAGATGTCCCACAACTCTTTTCTATCATTTCCATCATTTTTCCATTTCTGAATTAATGTCTGTATCAGATGGAAATTACAATAATAAAATAAAGTCTGGACAAGGAAGATGTAATTTTTTCTGTATTGCTCTTGCAGACAAATACATGTTTTTTGTTATTCACAGAGGTGAGAAGATGATAGGAACTGACTTCCAGATCCTCAGAACATTGGTTTGAATTAAATCCAGATTATTTTAAACTTCTAGACTGTATGCCCCCCCCAAAAAAGGGAGGGATTGGAAACACCCAGACTTTTGCTCTGAAATGGATGCATCACATCAAAAGCAATAAGTAACGATTAAAACAGATGCATTTAATTCCACCTGAGTGCTGGACATTTTAGTTATTACATAAAAACTTACTTGGGAGTAAACTACTTTGGATTCTTTGAAGGACTGGCTGTAGCAAAAGGAACGTTTTCTGAGCTGCAGGGACTACAATGTTCGTAGATGGGCACACTTTCTACCTGATAGATTTGCATTCTCAAAATATAAGGGCAGAAAGAAACCATGCCCCGCTCTTTGCCTTTCTCTAAGTGGGAGTGATGGGTGACAGAGCAATGTAGTGCACACTCTGTCCTCTTACTTCTCTTATCTGAAGAAAACCTGTGAAAAAGAAAAATGCTGCTCTAAGCCTCTTGGCAGTTCTACTGTTACCTTCTGTGACAGCTAGCTGACAGTACAAGTGGAACATTTTTTGCAAGGAATAATGTCCATATCTTACCGTGTTTCCCCAAAAGTAAGGCCTACACCAACAATAAGCCCTAGCGCTTATTATAGTAATATAAATGCTATTCCAAAAATAAGCTCTAGTTTGGGGGCAAGGCACACACCTAAAAATCAAGCTGGGGTGGGGAGGTGGAGCTGCCCCACCCACCCCGTATCCACTTACCTTGCAGCCGGGCCTCTCCTTGCCGGCCCACTTCTTCTTCTGAGGCCTCTTCTGCAGCCAGGCCTGAATTTCTCAGTCACAGGGCTTTCCGTAAGGCCTGTGCAGCCAAGAACCAAGCTATGGATTCAATCCATAGCTCAGTTATACAAGACCTCAGCAGCCAAGCACCAAACTATGGATTGAATCCATAGCTTGGTACTCAGCAGCTTAGGCCTTCTGGAAAGGCCTGACTGCAAAATGCAGGACCAAATACAGCTGCAGAACTTTGGCCCCAGAAGAAATGGATCAGCTGGGTGGGGCTGTCGGTGCCGGAGGTGAGGTAAGGCCTATCCTGAAAATTAGACCTGGTGCCTCTTTTGGATACAGTAGGATACAGTACTCATAATACTAGTAAGGCTGATCTCGAGAAGAAAAAGAAGAGAAAGTTCCATGGAATGAAAAATTAGTATGTGCTTTAGAAACAAATGAAATATGTTTTATTTCTGTCCTTCTTGAAAAATGACATTTTTAAAGTGATAGATTCCAGATGTAGACATATTAAATATTTTAAATTGACCCCCTTCTCTTAAGTGCCTCAACCATTTAAATCATAACTTGATTAAATATTTAAAAGTAAATAAAATTAAGTAATATACAGGTCATGTTTGACTTAACAACTATTTGTTTAGGGACTGTTTGAAGTTATTATAGCACTGAAAAAAATGACTTATGACCATTTTATTTTTAAATATTACTAGAGTCATCCTACTCTGAATGAAAGAGTAGATAACATTTGTAAAGCAAGGAACTGAAATGCTATCCATAATTACTAAATGCGGAGGTCCTTGTGTAATATGTAGGACCTTCAGGTTTTGATCTAGTGATTAATGAACTGATGCACCTGCTTGAAGCAAATTATAACTTTCAATATCATTGTAGCCTAATTCTTGGCATTTTTCTATTTTAGCATGACAGTAAGCCTTACTGTCACAAGCCTTGTTATGCAATGCTGTTTGGACCAAAAGGTATGTGTCCCTTCCTGGTAAGCTGGCAATTTAGTTTGGTATTGGTAAATTGCAGTCACTCTTTCTTCCTCTCTTAGCTTCTTGTTCTGAACTTAATTCTCCTTCAAACCAGCCAAAGTTGTCTAATTTTGTGTGGCTGGAAAATCATAGGCCTTTCTGTTGTAGCAAAATTTCCTGAGATGTAAAAGTAAGGTTTTGGGAGAGAAAGAGAGATTTCTTTAATCTGTGAGATTAAAGAAATGATGTAATGAACCATTGACAGAAAGAAGAGTGATCAACATTGCTCATGACCTCACTTGATTTCATCAAAATATGTGAATATGGCTGAGAGCTTGTGGCATAAGAAGCTTTTAACATCAGGTTTCTTTTCCTGTTCAATTTTCAGGTGTAAATATTGGAGGAGCAGGATCCTATATTTATGATAAAACTCCTTCTGAAGGAGAATTTGTACCAGGCCCTATTGAGCATGAATCCAAAATGGAAGAAAAGAAAATGAATGTTGCACCAAAAGGACCTAGCAAAGGTAAACAGTGAAGCAGAAGCCTGAAAATGCCTCAGGCTCAAACCTACAAAATCAGTAAAACAGTATATTGCAATCCAACTCATGTTCTCTTTCTGTGTATTATTACAGTGTTGCGTGTACACTGAAAGAGGCCATACTTGTAATGCAACACTGGGATGCTGCTTTTCTCATTCTGAGGAAAATAGCAGGATCTTGTAGAATCAAGAGAACAACTGATGACCAAGGGACATAATTATCAATGGTTTTCTTCTTTACTGGAAAAAATTAAAGTAGATAAATAATTTTAGGTATTGAACATTGTTAGATTGATTTTGAAATAGAATTGTATACAAATTATGAACATGTGATTGCTAAAATGTATAAACTTTTATTGAAATTTGAAACAGAAGAACAAATTAATATATATATGATAAAATGAGCTAAAATTTCAGTTTATAATATACAGATAAAAATATGGTTGAAAAGACTGAAATTGTACGTTATAACCTTATTTTTTGTAAAATTATGTACCATTGATATATGACACCGGAAAATATAAAGGTATTTCAAATTTCAAATTGAAAATGTGAATTATAAAAAGGGCCATTTTATCATGTTTGGTAGATGTGCAAAAAAATCTAGAAAATTTTGGATTCAAAAACAGTGAGTCAGAGGCTATTAAAGAAGAAGTAAGCAGTGGGGTACCACAAAGCTCTGTCTTAGGCCCAGTACTCTTCAATATCTTCAGAAATGACTTAAATGAGGGAATATATGGGGAATTCATCAGATTTGTAGATGACACTAAACTGGCAGGAATAGCCAACACCCCAGAAGACAAGCTCAAGATCCAAAAAGATCTTGATAAACTTGAACAATGGGCCCTATCCAACAAAATGAATTTTAATGTGGAAAATAGCAAAGTTTTCCATTTAGGCAGGAAAAATCAAAGGTACAGGTACAGATTAGGTAAGACCTGCCTCAAAAACAGTAACTGTGAGAGGGACCTTGGAGTCCTAGTGGATGATCACTTGAATATGGGACTGTAGTGTGCAGCAGAGCCAAAAAAGCTAATACAATCCAGGGTTGTATAAACAGAGGCATAGAATCAAGATTATGCAAAGTATTAATATTGCTTTATAAAACCCTAGTAAGACCACACCTGGAATATTGCAACCAATTTTGGTAACCATACTACAAAAAAGATGTTGAGACTTTGGGATTTCAAAAGTTTTTATTAGTTTATAATGTACGATACAATCAAAATACAAAAGTAAATAGCGGAAAAGATACGGAAAAGAAAAGGGAGTAGAGAAGTGAGGTAAGGGAGAAAAAAAGAAAAAGGCATTGACTTCCAACTTCCTTTGGTGCAGGAAAGTAGAATATCAACATTAAACCTCAACTTTTTACTTTTACAAAATAATATAAACTAGCCATTTTGATAATATCAAGTCTATCTAACTGGTAAAACCCAAAATCAAAATTTCATTTTTTTTCTACCTCAAGCACAAAGTCTAGAAGCAGTTTCCACGTAACAATAAAAGTATTTATATTCTTTTCTTTAATCAGTACAGTCAGTTTAGCCATCTCTGCTAGCTCCATCAGTTTTTGCAACCATTCTTCCATTGTGGGAGTCGATGTAGTCTTCCATTTCTGAATGTAGTCTTGCTGCTGTCAACATATATAACATCAAAGTTACATATTTTTTCCCAGGTCCATTAGCCCCAAAAGAAAAGTCTCTAGTTTTCTTTCTATATTCACTTTAAGAATTTTCTGTATTAACATATGAATCCTATTCCAATATTTTCTTGCTTTATCACATGTCCACCATAAATGGTAAAAAGACCCCTCTTTACCTTTCTAACATTCATTTGAAATACCTTTATACATTTTTGATAACTTGTCTGGTGTTAAGTACAAACAGTACATCATCTTGTAAAATTTTTCTTTTAAATTATAATTTAATGTAAATTTTAATCCTTTATTCCACATATTCTCCCATTGTTCAAGGATTATATTATACCCAAAATTCCTTGCCCACTGAGTCATACAATGTTTTACTTGTTCATTTTCCAAATTTAAATTCAATAACATTTTATAAACTTTAGCAATAATATGTTCATCACTAGGATTTCCAATTCATTTTTAACAAAACTAAACCCATGATTCTTTTTATCTAACTTAAATCTTTCTTTCAATTGCATATATGTAAACCAATGGCAAACATGACCTCCTTGGATTTTAGGGTAGGCTCACCCAAATTAAAAGATATTATTTTACCATAGGTCCACCAATTCGGCCTCATCACCATCTCTTTTCTAAAAAAAGACTTCTTGTGGGGAGACCCAAAGTGGCACATTCATAGAGAACCTTGTTTTATATTTATTCCAAACTCTCAAAATGACACACCTAGTAAAATGATTATTAAAATCAACATTTACTTTAACTTTGTCATATCACAGGTAACCATGCCAACCCAACCTTAATTCATGGCCTTCTAAGTCCAATAACCTCTTATGCTGAAGGTTCACACATTCTTTTAGCGCAGTGGTTCTCAACCTGTGGGTCGGGACCCCATTTGGGGTCGAACGACCATTTCACGGGGGTCGCCAAACAAGGCTGTCCGCCATTTTTTCCCCTTTTCTTTGGCCACACCCCTGGCACCTGGTGATGTATAAGTGGTTGGGGGTCACCACAACATGGGGAACTGTATTATGGGGTCACGGCATTAGAAAGGTTGAGAACCACTGTTTTAGCGAAACCAAACAACAAGCATTAAAGTACAATTTCAAATTAGGTAAACCCAAACCCCCTCTTTCCTTAGCATCTTGTAATAATTTATATCTAATTCTCGGTTTCTTCCCCTGCCATATAAACTTAGAGATATTCCTCTGCCATTGTTTAAATAGAGTATCAGTTGCAAGTATTGATAATGTTTGAAACAGGAAGAGCATCTTTGGTAAAATATTCATCTTAATCACGGAAATTCTACCCAGTAATGATAAATGCAACTCCCAATGAAAAAAACAGTATGCAACAAACAAATCCCCTTTGCCCAATCCTTCTCAACCAGAAACAGCCCCACTAGAATTGACCAATCAATTCCTTCCCTTAGACGGAAACATGGAGACCCACAACCCCACTCTCAAAGAAGATGTGCAGACACCTAACAAAAAGACTACTTCAAATATCCCTAAAAAGGTCACCTCAAATAACCCTAAAAAACTCACTCCAAACATCCCAAAAAAGCCACATTAACCAACACACCTGAGATAAACAGAAAAACACCCTAGACTGCACCCCCTCCCAAAAAAAGAAAGGAGAGCATTGGTAATAGGAGACTCCATTCTCAAAGGAACAGAACCATCCATCTGCAGACCAGACATACAATCCAGGGAGGTATGCTGTCTCCCTGGAGCAAAAATCAAAGATATGGCTGTGAAACTAACCAAAATAATTAGGCCCACAGACTACTATCCCTTCCTCCTCCTCCACATTGGGATGAACGATACAACAAACAACCTGAGTACAATAGTGAGGGACTACAAACATCTAGGCAATGAAGTCAAGAAGCTAGGTGCACAAATAGTGTTCTCTTCAGTTCTCCCAACAAAAGGCCAACACCCACTGAGGGAAAAAAGAATTTTAAAAATAAACCATTGGCTAAAGGGTTGGTGTCACCAAGAAAACTTGGTTTCCTGGATCATAGACTGCACTTCCTACACAAAGAACTATTGGCAAGGGATGGGCTACATTCAACAAAAACAGGCAAAAATATACTTGGAAAAAGACTGACCCAACTCATCAAGAGGTCTTTAAACTAAAACTGAGGGGGGGAGGGCGACCAACCTCTAAAAACTCTGGAACCCAAAACCAATCACAAATTCCAAGAAAGCAAATCAAACAATGTAGAGATTAAAAAAAAGAAGAACTCAAACAACATCCAGGAGACAGAGGAAACACCCCCATGGAAAGGCATAAAAATCTTAAATGCTTATACACAAACACTCAAAGCTCGGGGAACAAACAGGGTGAATTAGAAGCAATAGTACATGAGGGAGGGTATGACATAGTTGGCATTACAGAAACCTGGTGGGATGAAACCCATGAATGGAATGGACAGATGGATGGATACAAATTGTTCAAAAGAAAGAAGTCTATAAAAAGGGAGGGGGAGTTGCACTATATGTAAGAGAACACTACATATCTGCAGAAATGCACATGACCCAAGACAAAATCTCCCCAGAAAGTATATGGAGAAAGCAAAAGTGACATTGCCATAGGTGTTTATTACAGACCGCCCAACCAACCAGATGAAATAGACGAACTCTTTGCCAACCAACTAACAAATGCATGCAGGAAGCACACCACAGTAGTAATGGGAGACTTCAACTACCCAGATATCAACTGGGAGACAAACTCTGCAGTGAGCGGGAGATCAAACAGATTCCTAACCAACCTAGCCAACAACTTTGTCACTCAAAAGGTGGAGGAGGGAACTAGATGTAAAGCTATACTGGACTTAATCCTTACAAACAGAGAAGAAGTGATAGAGGGAATCGAAATTACTGGAACCCTGGATGAAAGTGACCACGTCATACTAGAATTTAATATAATGCAAACACCAACAGTAGAAAAGAATCCAACCGAGGTCCCAAATTTCAAAAGAGCCGACTTTAACAAACTAAGATAGAACCTAGGAAAAATCCCATGGATGAAAATCCTAAAGGGGAAAACAACCCAGGAAGTGTGGGAAAACCTGAAAAATATGATCACGAAAGCCCATACCAGCACAATACCACTGAGAAAGAAAAACAAGAAATCCAAGAAGAAAGCAGCATGGCTGCACAAAGAATTCACAAACTAAAAGAAAAAAGGACAAATTTAAAATAAGCAAGAAAATGGTAAAGGAGCATCTATCCAACCTTGATGAATATAAATCACCGGGACTCGACAGGCTACATCCCAGAGTTCTGAAAGAGCTGACAGAGGTTATCTCAGAAGCATTGCATCACATCCTCCAT